GGCAAAAGGCCCGAGGCAGCCCCAGGCCGGGAAGCGTTCAGCCCTCAGCCAGGTCCCCGCCGCCCCTCCGTCCCAGCGAGGCGCAGCCCCCCGTTCGCCAGCGCCTCTGTCCTGCGCCTACGAACCCACGGGCGCTCGGTGCCCTGGGGACCGATGGGGCTATCGCACCGATACGACCCCGATGGGAGGAGCGGCAAAGCCGTTTCACGCAGAACCGAAGCCCGGGCTGCCCCGCACAGCGGGAGAGCCGAGGATGCCGCCGCTGTCAGCCCTCCACCCAGCACTGCAGCCACGGGAGTACCTTCCTGCCTGCTGGTAACCACGGCTGATGGAACACATGGTGCTTGCCATTTATTTCGTCTCTGTGGCCTAAAACTCTTCCCGTGTCTGACCACAGCCATCTGGCTACGGCCCGTCACACCCATCCTTCCCCATCCGAATGCAGACCAAGCCAGGACTTCTCAGCATCCGCGATGAGACAGTATCAGGAGCACTCAGTCGTTTAAATTATTAAAATAAGAAGGAACTGCACAGGCTGGATCCTAGCAAAGCAATTTGTATATTGCTCTTTCTTCTAATGAAAGTGAAAAGCTGTCTAACTTTGAAGTAAGAGCTTTGCATCTCAACAGCGAAACAAGACTTTGCAAGCAGAGGTCGGGAATGTTTCCGTCACAGCTTGAAGGCAGCCGGGGCAAGAGGAGGAAGGGCTTTTGGGGATGCCACTGCCGTCAGGAGCCTCACAAATGTCAGCAGGTCACGCTCTGTTCACTGTTGTAATCACAGAATCATTAAGGCTGGAAAGGACCTCTAAGATCACCAAGTCCAACCATCCACCCCCATGCCTGCTAAACCATGTCCCCAAGTGCCACATCTACACGGTTTTTGAACCCCTCCAGGGATGGGGACTCCACCACTGCCCTGGGCAGCCTGGGCCAGTGCTTCACAACTCTTTCGGTGAAGAAATTTTTCCTGATATCCGATCTGAACCTCCCCTGGTGCAACTTGAGGCCGTTTCCTCTTGTCCTGTCGCTGGTTACTTGGGAGCAGAGACCAACCCCCGCCTCACCACAACCTCCTGTCAGGGAGCTGCAGAGGGCTATCGAGGGACCGGTCCGTTTCTGAAGCGGTGATGAAATAGCCCCTTCAGAAGAAAGAGCACAGAGAGATTAGTGGGCAAACCTAAAGCTCCAAAGGTGAAAAAACGTACAAGACAAATATTTGCTAATGCTAATTTTACTCTGGCCAAGAAGTTTTTCTGTGAACAATCCTAATCGAGCAGCATTAGGGAATAGGCAGTCCAGTGTGGATTCGTAGCAGTCAAGGGGAAAAAATTATGCAGCAAGTTATTTCCCAGGCTTCGGCACAGTTTTTTAATCGTTCTTGCTAACGCGAGCTGGCGGAACGCTGAAAAGGCAGGAAGAGCTGAGGCACAGCGTGTGCCTGCTTTTCTGGAACATCTGTTGCATGTTAGTATGAGCGTGCATCTCACAGGAGCTGTTGTGATTGATTTAATTTTGCTATTTAGGGAAATAAAAACAACTTGGGTGAGTTGAGGGAGTCACAAATGACAGAGAAGGCAGTGCTCCATCACCGCCACGGCAAGCGCGTACAGGTGGTTTCTGTTCTGCGTGATATTCTTTCAGCTGGTCTTAGTCCCGTGCGTGCTCTGTTACCAGGTCTCCCACGGGATCACCCGGAAAGCTACCATTCCTTCTTGTGGAATAACTTCTTTAAGCATCTTGACATCTCGGCAGAAAACGTTCACATTTTGGATGGAAATGCACCGGATCTACAGGCAGAGTGTGATGCATTTGAGGATAAAACCAAAGCAGCTGGAGGAACTGAACTCTGTTGGAGGTGAAAACCCGAAGGACTGGCAGGCAGCACTGCCGTTCCTCCACCAGCTCTCTCATTTATTGTCAGGAGAGCTCGTTTTCAGCGCAGTGCAGCGGATGTGCAGGGAAAGCCAACCACACTCCATCGCCCCGGGTGCTGGCAGCCTTGTCTTCCAGTGCAGCGCTCCCCCAGTTTTCAGCATGGCAATCCAGTAAGCGAATTGCTCAGGAAACGCTTAGCAGGAGACACAGGCAGGGCTAGAACTGCACCGAACACAAATCGTACTGCAGTTGCCAGTGCTAACAGGAAATTGCTAGGAGCAGTCAGAGTCCTCTGAGCCAGCAGGAGCTCAGCGCAAGCTCTTCCTGTCGGTTTGCCTGACCATTCCGCCATCTGCTTGCTGTCCCAGCGCAATTAGGGAAGAGTCCTTGTTGACTTCAGAGGGGGCTTTTGCTGTCATTCCTACCAGAAGCAAATTTAAGCTTGAGCAGAAAAATTGCAAGTGTTTTTCTTAGATCTGTATCTATTCCTGAAGCATTGAATGTCCCTCTGATAGGAGCGCTGCTGGCTCTGCCTCCTACAGCAACCGCTACAGCCACGGAGCTGCTTCTCAAACTGTCTCTGTCACAGGTATTGGCCCAGACGGTCACATCGCCTTCAAGGAGCCCGGGTCAAGTTTGGTGTCTAGGACGCGAGTGAAGACCTTGGCTATGGACACCATATTGGCTAACGCCAGGTTCTTTGATGGCGACCTTTCCAAAGTCCCCACAATGGCTTTGACGGTCGGAGTAGGCACTGTCATGGATGCCAGAGAGGTTAGGAGAAAAGCAGTGACTCGGTGGCTCTTGAGCAGGGCTTCCCAGCGCAGCTGCAGGTCACCCAGCCTCAGAGCAGCATTGCACCCTGCTGGTGCAGGCCAGCGTGTGCTTCTCCTGCCACAGGCAGCTGAACACCTGCTCTCCTGCTCTCCTGCAGCGCTGCGGAAGGGCTCGTGCTCCGTCTTCCTTTTTCACTCTGCTAACACCTACGTTTGTGGAACGCTGCAGTACAGCTGTGATCCACAGGGAGCTAGAGAGGCTTGGGAGGATGCCTTTGGTTAAGAATCTCATCTGGGGAAAGAACTGCAAGAATCACTGGATCACTTGACGCTACACCAGCAGATCATGAAAACTGTGTGGGATGGCTTTAATTGCGTCTATACCTCGATTGAACTTGCCAAGTCTCAGCATACAGGTGCCTAACAGGGGAGCTCAAAGGATCCAGGTCATTAAAATGACCCACCAGGCTATGATTTAATTGGCAAATATAATGCAGCCAGAGCAACCAATTGTCACACAGTGCCCCTGCAGAGGATGACAGATCCCCCTGCTAGGGACCGGGGCGGCTCTCCCTTGGTTTGGCAGGGCGCGGGTGTGCTCTCTCTGAACGCGCCATCTACACCCTAACTGCCACCCTCTGTGTCTCCGAGCCCAGGTGATGATTCTTATCACAGGAGCCCACAAAGCTTTTGCTTTGTACAAAGCCATCGAGGAAGGCGTCAACCACACGTGGACAGCATCTGCTTTCCAGCAGCACCCCAACGCGGTGTTTGTGTGCGGTGAGGACACCACGCTGGAACTCAAAGTTAAGACCATGAAGTACTTTCAAGGTGAGTGTTTGACCAGGCCGGGCGGCTGCTGTGCTCAGTTTTCAAGTGGCACAAGCCACGCTTTGCATGTCTGTTTCTGTTTGATCAGCTCCCAAAGGAGCACGTTCTGTAACGGCTGAGGCGCACAACCACCATAACAGCGCAAAGGCAACGCTTGACTGTGCGGGCATGGGAGCAGAGGAACAAGGACGCTAGTAATGCCTAATTTCATTAGCATCCAAAGAATGAGAATTTTGCTTTATTATGTCTACTTAAGTCATCTTTTTACTCGCTACATTAGGTTTAACGCTGGTCCACAACAAGCTTGTGGAGCCCTTGTGGAGCATGAAGGAGATGGGAGCAGAAAGCCGCCAGCCTAAGCAGCCGCACAGCGATGAACCTCTGCTGCTCTGAGGAGTGCTGAACCAGCTGTTCTGGTGACAGCCAGCTGTGAAGAAAGGGAATTGCTGCAGAAACTCGTATGTGTTCTTAAATTAGCAAAACGATTATGTGCTTGCTTCTTTCCATTAAAAAGACAGATGCCAAACACCTGCCTTAATTAACCAAATGAGGATGGGATCCAGTGCACTCTGTTCCACAAACTTCTGCCACTAACTTACTCTCTGAAGGTAAAGTCAACGGCGAGTGAGTTTTTAATCTATGAAGCAACTGGAATCACGTGGACTGAAGGCCCCAAAAGGTAAAGGTGAAGATACACGGAAGTACAATTTTGTAGAAACAAAGCCAGTAATTGCTTTGGGATGTCTTCCTTGCAATTAGGACAAGTGCCTTCTGCATTATAGTCATTTTTACACACTCTTACATTATAGTCATTGAAAATGGGAACTGAGCCTGTTAAGCCTGAGGAGGGGAAGGCTTCAGCATGACCTCATAGCACTGTGCTTCACAGCTACGAGGAGGTCATCGAGATGACGCAGCGCATGGGGGGAAGATGAGAAGAGACAACGGGAGCTGGAGTTGAAACAAGATGCTCAGACTGGATAGAAGGAAAAAAACCCACCCGTGAGGACAGTCGAGCAGCGGGGCAGGTTCCCCAGGGAGCTGCAATCTCTGTCCTCAAGAGGTTTTGAAGACCTGGCTGGATAAAGCCCTGGCTGAACCCTGCTTTGAGCTGGATGTTGGACCCAAGACCATCTCAGCAAACGAGAGGCTACAAGGAGCATCTGCCAGCGCTGTATTAACAATGCAGTTTATGCATCTGCGTGATCTTATTTGTTGTCACGCAAGAAGCCTTACCTATTCAGCCTCAGGGTAGAATTTTGTATGCCCTGGTGCTTCATGAAGTACTACAGGAGGGCAGACTTGTTCAGATTAAGCGTAAACGACTCCTCTCTCTGCTGCTCAGCACTGTTATTTGTGTCAGCGCAGAGCCTGAAGCAGGAAGTTCTCTCTCCCTCCTTCCCATGCTTTGCCTTGCTACAAGGAAATGCCCAGTAAGCCTCAAAAGGAGCAGCCTGCTCCCTCTGGCCTCAGCCTGTGTTTAGTCACAGAAGCCCCACAGCAGTGGTCAACAGCCTGTACGGGGAAGACCCACCCAGGTCATTCCTGGGTTTCCTATCAAACGCTGTCAAGTGAGGGGCAAGACAAGCTGGCAAGCATTTATTTTCTTTGTGCAGAAATTTTGTAAGCTGTTGATCTGTAATGTCTCAATTTTTTTCTGAATGGTCACACTGCCTGTGTCTGGTGCTCAGACTCACTGTGCCAGTCCAGCCTGGCACTGTTCATGAGGCTAAGCGCGATGCCATCTTTGAACAGCAGCACCACAACCTTTGAAGAATGAGAAAGCCCTGTTACTTTGCACAAGACTTCTCTATCACCTAGAACCAAAGCTGTAGTGAAAGCAGTTTGGTAGAAATAGCTGCTGCGGCTCCCTGCGTCAGGAGCTTCCCCCCTTGTCTCGTAACTGCTGGTGGGTTTGCACCAAACACCTGCGGGGGGGGCTGTCCTGCCAGGCAGCAGCCATGTCATATAAAAAAGTGGGGATCTTTAAAGGAGAAAAAAGGTCACAGCTCACTCTCTTTTACCACAAAGTGTCTCCAAATAATCTAGGGCTCGTTCTGTGTCTGCACAGAAATGGAGAAAGTGAGGTCTACAATAGGAGAAAGTATGCACAGAGGAAAAATCTCTGTGCCATGTTACCGGAGCTGCCTGCCTTGCTCTGTCCGTGAAGACAGGTTCTGGTGTTAGCTGTACTACCTTTCCAGCTGACTATCCCACGAGCACAGTCCTTCCTTGTCCCCTCCTCAGAAGGTTTGTCCTCCTCTCCCTCACCACAGAGTGCGGGAGCTCCTGCCCACAGGTCCCCACGTGCCTGGAACTCACAGACGTGGTGGCGACTACGTCGCTGTTCCTCCTCTGTCCACACAAAGCTCTTGAAAGCAGGGGTGGTTCACTGCCACATCTTGAAATACCTCACCACAGCGCCTGTGCTCTGGCAGACATCCCCAGCCATGGCTTCTCATCCCAACGTACCCTTTGGTGTGCAGAGCCCCTGCTCAGCCCACCTCTGTCCTGGCAGAAGGGACCTGGCCAGCCTCCGGCAGGTTTAAGGGATCCAACACCAGCTCCTCCATCCAGGCAGGAAAACAGGGTTGAAGCACACCCACTTCTCACAAATGTTCCCCATCTGCCCACACATGCAGCTTAGCGGGAGGAAAGCCTCCTCAAGGCGGGAAGCCTCTGGACTCGGCCTGTGGAGTTAAAAATTGTGGCCAGAGTGGAAACCGCCGTGGGGATTGCAGCTGAAAGCTGCCTGCCACATCCAGCACAGTGCTCCCACAGTGGTGTCACCACGGCCACCGTCTGCCAGGCAGGGGCTTGCATCGCCCAGGGCAAACCAGCGCCCTTGGGGCGTGAGGGCCCTTCGCGTACGTAACCGTCCAGACGTCCATCAGCAGAACACGTCCTGTGCCAGCCTCGCGCGCGAGCTCTGCGCGGGTCCGGTCTGTGTCACCCTGCAGACCACGCCAGCGGGCGCCTCGGCCCCGCGGCACACAGGCACTGGGCGATCGCCGCCCAGACGCCGAACTGAGCTCCGGCCCACGGCCGACCTGCGCGGCCACAGACACGCCGTCATGCAGAC